TTTCAAGTAAAATATAAGATAAATTAAAATTTAAAAAAGTTTCTTTAAAGGAAAAAAATGATATTAAATATTCTTTTTATATCGTATACATGAGTTAGAGCATATACGCGCGTCGATTTTATGTATCGTTTGAGAAACCTGGTGAATTAATATTCTAGAGTTAACGAAAGGGAATCTTTGTACTGCTCGCGGTTGTTCGTCCTTGCCCGGACGATGCTCCAGGGCCCACTTTTCTGACGCGAGGATCCTGAACCGCAAAAACTATGAGAAGACTTACGTAGCGGAGATGCTGCGCTGACTCTCGCTTGGAAAATGAGGCTACATCGGCGATGCAGCGTGTAGCAAGTGGTATCTATATATGGCGAGGTGGTCCGGAAAGAGATGGATTATCTCGACACATTTATTCACGACGAATTCTTCCGACGTTTGTACACGCCCGTTCCCTTATCAATCATAACGGCATAGATTTTGCGTATCAGAGCGATCAACTGTGTGCGACATGACGACATTATAATTGCAACATTTTCTCGCAATGACAAACCTTATTTCAAGAAGATTGTTACGAGAACGACTCGATTGTGCTGAATCAACACACTTGTTTGGCCAAATAACGAGGCTATCGAGCAACGTAATCGAAACAGAAACGCATTGCATATATTTGGTGAGAAGAATGAATTTTATATAAAATCATAAACTTTTTTACTTTAATTCATGTTCTTATTATTTATTACTTTTTTCTTTAAAATTTATATAATACAATTTATGTAATACAATTTAATATAATTTAATATACTTTTAATACATTATCCCTAATAGTACACCAAAAGACATTCTGAGGATATCCGGAAGACATTTGAACATCCTCAGGATGTTCTCTGAACGTCTTCGAGATATGTGTGCCGTTAGGGATATAAATATACATGGAACCAAGATAAATGTAAAAATGTAGTATATAACAATGCGACTGGAAAGATGGAAAATTAGATGTCTGTCTTATTCATCTCATATTATTATAACATTTGGAGAATGAAATTCCAATAAAATTGGACGGTCTAATGTGACGATTGTGCGTGCGTTCGAAGGTTATCAATGGGCGCGTGCGGAAGTAGAAATCGCATAGAGGCAAATAAGGCGGGAGTTCTCGCGAGAGTTCTCTCCGCTCGCGGGTCCGATCTCGCTTGAAGAGGGGCAGCCTCTTGACGACTAGAGGGTGGGATACGCCTCGATATCTCGCGGGGATCCTCGCGTCGCGTTTCGCCTTGACCGATCTCGGTCGATCTATCCCCGTACGATATCGGTTCCCACCACGTTTTGGCCTCGTTTATGTCCTACGCTCCTTCGCGGGCGCGATACCACCTCCGAGGTGCCACGACCACCACCAGAGTCTTTTGGTGGCGCGGATGGCACCAAAGTTATAAAGTGGACCAACTAAGCTGGCAAGCGGCGCTGCCACTTTGTCGAGCGACTACGACGTGTCACGGTTCCCCACGGCTTCGAAGGAGAGGATTAAGCACTTTTCGGCGGACACCTCGCGCGGTGTCGTCCACTGAAGCGCACGGTCGTCGTGCCATGTCATTCTAACGTAATAAGTCGCGGGTGCGGTTCACAATCGAGCGACTTTATTCCCGGAACGATTCTGGAACCATCCACGTTTCGCTCTTCTTGTAGAAGAAACAGGGATCCGAACACTTGGCCTTAAAGCACTCTTGATTAGAAAGAACCTATAAGGTAAGATACTCCTCTTTCTGATCTTCCAGAACAAATTCTAAGTCTAAGGGATTCTCTCTGATGGAATTGGTTTTGCGATACGACAAGTGCCTCTTCATCGGGTTTCTAAGGGTGTGCTTTGATTAAAGTTGCGAGTAACGGAAATAAGATTTTTGTTTGTAAATTTGTATCACAAAGTTGTTCATTACACGAGATAGAACCGATTTTTCTACCCTAACAGGTCCAACGGAGAAATCTTTAATACAATCAGAGCTTCTCTGTCTCCAAATAGTATGAAGATCGAGAAATGAAAATAAAAATATGAACTTCGACGAAAGATAGACAGACAGACAGATAATGACCTACTTAAGTCAAGGTACAATGTTGCAATACTCTGCTTTGGAATGTGCTATTGTCAGCAAACCCACTTGTTAATTCGTGAAAAATTAAAATAACTCAATTGATATTGCAACAAAATGATCTCAATTTTGCTTAAAATAATAATTACTTTTACAATTTTTTTTACGTCAACAGAAGTATATGTCAATTATTAATATTAGAAAATACATATATCTATGACATTAATTTAAATATTGTTAGAATATTAAGTTAGTTGAAAGTTTTAAATTATTACGTGCTTACGTATTAAGCTTATTATCTTTGCGATATATAAAACATATATTTAAATATATATAAAAAAGAAAAATTAAACAAGAGTTTTGCTTTTTAAGTATTAATTATTAAAATGGAATATTTATAATCTCTCTCTCCTTTTTCTCTGAAAAGAGAAAAAAAAGCTTTCTTTGTAAGCTTTTTACAAATTTATTAGATCACATATGTACACATATGAATTTTACATGATTATAAGAATTTTAAAGTCTCCTATATATTAAATACAAACGCGAAATAAACGGACAATGAGATTCTAATGTAGATGTTCGTTGGATAGCACAAATTAATTTTTCACTATACATTATAATTATGCACTGGGTACGAAATTTGCTAGGCACATACATGATTATAATTGGCATTTACATGATTATATATTTGCGCATTAGGGGAACTCAAATTTCATTTAAGATTTAATTATCGATTAGGTGTTACGCTTCGCGATTACAAAGCGCGAGCACTTTCATTGCAATTTAATGAAGAGCAGGTTGCATTTTAATACAAAATTTCCTAGTTTCTCTCATTTGTGCTTCTCTCTCTCTCTCTTCGAAAGTGTTCTTTTTACGTTGTCACATATCATGTGGTGCTCAATGGCCGTATTAATCAATTGCACTTTAACAATGATATTAATCAATTCACGCTTTAAACCGATCATAATGACGAAGAGAATTAATTATGTTTCTTCGCTGAGTGCTACGCGATCTCACTTTATTCATACAACGATAATTGTATTGTTTTCAAATTGTTTGCGAATTAATTAAACATCAATTTTAACTTTTAATGATTTAAATTATATAATTAGCATTTTGGTGTGCAATTTTTGTTTTTTTATTCAGTTCAGCGAACATTAACATTGTTTTTTCAATCATTCATTATTCATGAAGATTTTGATTACTGATGCAAAACTTAAAAATATTTACCATTTTTTCCTACATAGTCATTTTTTTTTAAGAGCTTCGATTACCGAGGAATAAGTTTTTTTATATCCTCTAAAAATCGCATAAAAATTTATCGGAGACTTCAGCCAGTTCAACACCTCACTTGTTTCTCGGTATTAAAAGTATTTAGAAAAAAAATAGTAAATATGCAAATGTTGTATCAGTACATGTTCGGCAAGGAAAAATCGTTTAGACTTCCATTTAATCGTAATTTATAATTGTCCAGTTTTATTTCTTTTTTATCCACAAATTCGCTCTATTTTAAATAATGTTTTTACACATTATATTTTAGTTTTCTTTGAAGATTTTTGATCCCTAGCAAAAGGATAAGATTTTCTTAGTCGCTGCATGAATCGCGACATTTCGATATTCTTCACGAGTTTCATGACAGCGAGATAAATCAGACAGCCTCCGCGATTTATCTGATTGTTAGAATTAGATATCATGCCTGGGATCGTTAACATAATAACTCGCGCTTATGCCGAAAGTTCAATATAATGAATATAAAGCCGCTTCAATGAAAGTAACTTTCCTCGAAAGATATGTGTTAGTTGATGGATGATTGATTTGACAACAAGTTGCTCTTAAAGAAGAGAGGTATTCATTGGAACATGTTTATAGTGACTTGGGGAGATAGCGGTAATAGTTTTCTTCGGAGCGTGAAAGTTATGTTCTCTTCGATGCGAACGGCAATGTGAACGACCGGATAATGTGCATCGAGGAAATGGCTGTTAAGGACTAATTACGCGCTAATATACGTATCGCAAGTTCCCTTCGTCCAATCGATCAACATCTCATGAGATACATCGTTTCTGTGTCTTAATCTTTCGCGCGTTCTCAATACCTGGCAAGAAAAAGTTACCGTGCAATCAAATATAAATATATATAATTTTATGTAAAATAAGTCTAAACATGTTTTCATTTTCTCGAAAGATGTGTTAGTAATTAAAAAATTATTACAAGAATAATCATTTTTTAATTTTTTTTAGAAAAAATAAAATCTGAAAAATTAAACATATAATAATCATATATGTATACATATGAGCAATTTTTTCATTTTTTCAAATATTATGCTTTGAAGAAAAGAAAGTAAAAGCTATTAATCTAATTATATCTGAATTATTCTTTTTATTATTTTTACTGTATTTATGAATACAAATGATATAAGAGAAAGAAAATATGTAGATATATTTTTTATACATAATCATATATATTTATATTTGTTTATGTTTTTAAACATGGATTTTTTAAATAATTAAAATTAAATCTTTACACCTACTTATTTGTTAATTCATGCTTAAAACATAAATGTTTTACGAGCGGGCAATATTAAATTCGCTGCGTCAGTAAATACAAATCTACGTCAAAGTACTTGAAAAAGGTACGTCGTAAAATTAGCGGTTTCGCCGAATGGTCTTGCTCCGATACCTTGCTACTCTGTGCTACAAGCTTGCAGACAAGATATTCGGTCAAGGTGGTACTGAAAGATGAGATACGACGACAATAGAAAGCAGCTATTCCATTAAAATTATTTGCCTTCGAACCTGCGGCGACCTGTCACTTCTCGGCGTGTATAATTAAAGCCGAGAATGTGACTCGACGCAGTTATCCCGCACGGCTGTAAATGCAAGTTCATTCAAGGCGGTTACGGATTTGAGGGTGACGAATTCTTCGTTTGTGTTGCAGGCGATGGCGAGCCTCATTAATTCGACAGCGCAATTCATCAACGATGCATATGACTACTACCTCTGGACGCTGTCTCTTGCAGGTAATTTACACAAATTGCGTTCTACGGTATTCGAATTATAATATTTGCTATCGTAATGTCGTGTAGGTGTGTTTAATCAATTAATTTAATTATATATTACTAATATACTTATGTATATTTAATTATATTATATAAGTCACATTGATAGGTATTTCTAATTATAAAGATTTTAAGAACATAGATATATTAATATAAATTTATAAATAAAAAACAATTATTTTAGTATCAAAACAGTGTTTTGTTATAAAAAAATATTTTAAAAATAAATAGTAAACGAAAATAAATATTGAAAAACCGCAAAATTTTTGTTGTAATTTGCTTTTCAGATGAGAGAACGAGAGGATGGTTACTGGTTGATTCGCCGAAACCAACGTTAATATACACGATATTATATCTCCTTATTGTTTGGGCGGGTCCTAAGGTCATGAAGAAGCGGAAAGCCTTCAAATTAACATGGGCACTGGTGCCCTACAACCTTGCCATGGCCTGTCTTAATGCTTATATTGCCATTCAAGTGAGTATTATTTCCTACGACTAACGAGAAAATATATCGTAGATCGTTTTCTTTCTTCATTTATTTTCATATATCCGCTTTTACTGGACGGAAAGTGCACATCCGTCACTTCATCGATATCTTTTTGTTCCATTTGCAGTTGTTCGTAGCATCCACGAGATTACAATATAGTTATGTGTGTCAACCAATAAGGCACATCACGCGTCCCGATGAACTTCAGGTAAGAAATTTCGAGAAAAAATTTGTATAAAACTTTTTTTAACATTTCAAACTGGCTTAAAAAATTTCTATTAAAAGCTAAAATTTTGTTTCTCTTCTTTTTGATTTCGAAATAAATTATAATATAATAGAAAAATTTTTAAGCCAAGGATAAGATTGCGAAAAACGATGCGAGAAAGATCCATTAAAAAATACTGATGCTTTCTATGTTCAGATTGCTCACGCAGTTTGGTGGTACTACTTTAGCAAGCTTCTGGAATTCTGCGATACCTTCTTCTTCATCTTGCGGAAGAAGGACAATCAATTGAGCTTCCTCCACGTTTACCATCACTCTACCATGTTTTCGTTATGGTGGATCGGTATTAAATGGGTACCGAGCGGATCTAGTAAGTATCTAGCATTTTTCTCTTCTCTCTTTCGTATTAATTTATGATAATTTATTACATTCTATCTAGCGTGAAAGATTGCATAAGTAAATTTAAGTTTGATTCTATAACTTTATCCGCTTTTTCTACGAATAAATGCGAATAATTTTTATCAGAAATTGTTACTGTATACAAAATGACATTATTATGTTTCCAAACAAAAATAGATTTCACGCTATGTAATAAATTTGACGAAAAAAGGAAGAGTTACTTTTTAGGATTTAATTACATAGTGTTAGAATAAAAAATCACTTTTACGCGATCTTAATAAAAGAGTTGACGCGCGTTTGTTTGCAGCTTTTCTGCCAGCGATGGTAAACAGTTTCATCCACGTGCTGATGTACTCGTACTACGGACTCGCCGCGTTAGGCCCTGCGGTAGCCAAGTTTCTCTGGTGGAAGAAGTACTTGACGATCCTGCAGCTGATCCAATTCACCACCGCTCTGATTCTGGGCATCAACGGCATTCGATCGGGATGCGACTTCCCGCTCTGGATGCAGTATGCTCTCGTGGTCTACATGCTCTCCTTTATCGTCCTGTTTGGAAACTTCTACGCCAAAGCTTACATCGCAAAGGTCAGTCTTGGACTCGATTGGACTTCGGACGTAACCGAATGGGCGCGGTATACAGTGTTTCAGAACTGGCAAAAAAGTTTTTAACGGCAGATTCCTGGTATCATTCGGAGACGATTTTTCCTCAGCGAAAATGTCGAGACACCGATAATTTTCGAATTATAAGCAGTTGAAAATAAAGACTTTGTTAGAGAAACTAAGCCTTTAAGAAATAAAATATTAACAGAACTATACATTCTTCAATTAAATTTAGGTAAAGTTTGCTTTAATAGAATTTTAATATAAGGCTTAGTTATGAAATAAAGATATATAATAGTAAAAATTGGGAACATGATGGCCTCTTTCAACATTTTCACTAAGGAAAAATCGTCCCCAAAAGATACCAGGAATTTGTCATTAAAAACTTTTCCGCCAATTCTGCAACACCCTGTATATTTACCGATCCGTGATGTTTGTTTGCAGGGTAAACAGGTGTACGCGGAGAAGCAGTTGGAGAGGCTAAGAGCCGCTAAGGAGAAGTTAAAGAATGCCCAGCTGATCGCGGACGCGACGCTCAGCAACGGCGCAGTCGCGAACGGACACGCGAACGGTTACACGAATGGGGTGACCAAGAGGAAGGCCCAATGAATCTCGATCTAAGAGTCTCATACTATAGAGAATCCGACGATACACGACGATACACACGCGCGCGATAAGAGAAAATAGTCACGTTATGGTATAACCTGATGCATAGTCGATCTCGACAGTATAGTTTATAACGTAAGGGAAAAAGAAGGAAGAGACAAACAATAAAAGGAGGAAAAGAGAAACAGAGATTACATTTAGAAATCCCGTCGAGATTGTTGTGTTCGCGAAATAACGTGATATCAGCAACGTGATTCCAAAGTTATCGAGATATATGCGATTTCTCCCTCATCAGCTCAATCAACTGTACATTCGCGGCACGACGCGGCACGACGCTGATTTCTCAGCACAACTGTACATATATTAAGGAATATATACATGCTGGAGGCGTACTAGAACCGGAGTAGTGATTAACGCGACGGGTCTCGTACATCTTGGAAGAGAGACTCGAAGCGCGCGAGAGGACTCTACGGATTCAAATAAATATCAAAATATATATGCGGTCAAAAGAAAATGATCTTCTTTTAAGAGTCGGGGTATAAATCAAGTTTAAGAAATCTTTCTCTACAACTATAAGATTATAGCCGGTGTATTCATAGTCAGGTCTTATATTTAAGAGCGTCTTAAGTTCATCTTCAGATGCTATACGGATCATTTCATTGGCTACGGAGTGATCTGAAGATAAACTTAAGATGGTCTTAAATATAAGATCCGACTATGAATACCGACCTATATTGAGGAAAATAATAACGAGAAAAAGGTACATATATATAGGTAAGAGATACATAAACCGGACTGAAGGGAGATTAGTTCTGTAAGTCTAATTATCTGTGGATGTGGGCAGACAGAAAAAAAATCAATTAACGGCGGATGAATGAAAAAATTATTGGAAAGGTGTTTCTCTCTTTTCTACATTTTATTTGTCGCGGGATAAGATTCAAGTTACGTCTACTATAAGAGTAACAAAAAAGGCCCTACTCAAAATTTAGTGCGCGACAATTTTTTTTAAACATTTGTAATGAAAAATGTATGCGAAATATTACTCGTGTATTCGGATAATTGACTCCATTAAATTTCGCGAGCTATGAACGAGTCTTATATATGCATAAATGTTTAGGAGTTAACAATAACACGCGGAAAGCCTATAATATTCGCGAGAAATACACGAAAGTTCGTTTTTATTAAACGATTAAACACATTTGGATGAACGATAGATTTCTTATTCGTTTCTAAATGATATATATTTTTAAACAAAAAGAAAAAAAAACAACGTATCGATCGGATAGACGCAGATTTTTATACGGAAACTTTTCTACAACGAGTAATCCAGGTGTGTCGTACATGTACAAATAATGCGCTTTTGTCGTAATAAAAATTATGATAGCAACAAGAAAATTGTACGATGGTAGAAAAAAGAGAAAAAAAATCTTGCAGAAAATAGAGAAAACTTTTTATATCACAACACGTTTTTTCTCATTTGTGTAGAATCTGCTTTCCACGGTGCGATTCATATTTTTATCCCAAAATTTACGGATATAGCAATTTAGCCTCTCTTTTGCATAAATTACAAGATAATCATTTCGCGACGATGGCTCATTATTATTTGCGAATCGTGTATTTCCTCCTAATATACATACTTCTCAATCTCTTTTAGCTAATTATATTATTATTGTTAATGTGTTTATCTCATTATCACACAGACACACACACATAATGTAATGAATGATGCAATTGTTATAAAAATGGCATTGCTGCGCAATGCTTAAACGAAAGAAATGCATTATGTTAATTCTCTATGGCTCATGTTTATTTAAGTCCTTTTTAGTATAAATTTCCCCATTAATTAATATCTAACTTCTAATAATTAAATGTTATGAAAACATCTCAAAAATTGCAACGCATGCATAAAAATTACTATATTACAATGCATGCATAAAAATATATTAATTAATTATGTAATTCATAGAAATTCAATAAGAGAACAAAAAATAGAATTTTCTACAAAAATTTCTTTCGATCAAAATATCTGCGCTTTCATTAGATTCGCGCGTCTGTAAGCTGCGCCTGCGCGGCTCGCGCGGAACTGATCACGTGACCATCAGTCTCGAACTCTCGACTCTCGAACGAGAATTCGAGAATCAGTTTCGCGCGAGACACGCGGCACGACGGACGTGGGGGATGTACTAATTTAGTAGAAGGGATAGAAAGAGACAGACTGCAAGACTTTTAACAGCAACAGTGTCGCCATCTGTCTCTTTCTATCCTTTCTACTAATAATAAATTAGTACACCCCCCACGTCCGTCGTGCCGCGCATCTCGCGCAAAACTGATTCTCGAATTCTCGTTCGAGAGTCGAGAGTTGGAGACTGATGGTCACGTGATCAGTTCCGCGCGAGCCGCGCAGGCGCAGCTCACAGACGCGCAAATCTAATGGAAGCGCAGATAGAATGTATAAACTTTTTTTTTATTAAAGAGAAAGTTCTCAATCGGGACAAAATATTTCAAAATAGCATTGTTTTCATTTAATTTTTGATATTTTTAAACACCTTGTTAATAGTTGGCTCTGTCATTCTGCATTTAATATTTTTATTTGTAAGAAAAAGAAAAGAAAAACAAAGGTTCAAAGACATAATACTTAATCTGTTAATATATTTGTAAGTCAAAATTATGTGGCTGATAAAGAATATATATTTCTTTATTTTTTAATAAAATTTATGTGCAATTTTTTTAATAAAATAATATTTTAAATTTAAAAAAGTGTAATCAAAATATTAAAATAATGCTCAATTGGTATCTAACTTATATCGATGTAGAGATCTTTTATATCAGCAAACTCGATTGATGTAAAAGAGGATATATACAATTTATTCAAAAATAAAACAATAAAAATATGACAGTTGCGTTAAATAATAAATATTATTCGACGTATCAAATTTTTATAATAAATATATAAATATATCTTTTTTTTCGAATTCTATATTAAACTTGTACTTACTGCAAACTCTCAAAGTAAATTCTCTGCGAAATAAATAATTTAGTAAATAACAAATAATTGTCAAAAAATAATAAGTTAAAAAAAATTTAATTCTGAATGTAAAATACAGTTGATTTCATTACCGATTTATGTTTTCATATATACCGCTAAGATTTTGACTCATATTCGCTGATGAAAGTAAAAAGAAAAGTTCAATACTTTTCAAAGATAATTTAGCGTGTAATCTCTTTTTTTCGTAAAAAATGTGTTTTTTAATAAAAGTGTATTTTCGTATAATTCAATATAATTTAATTTAAAGAATTAATTGTGTTTTATTAATATAAATTTGGCATAGAAAAACGAACAAAATTTAGATTAATTTCACGTTATCTAAAATATCAAAGAAATATTTTTTTAAATTTAGTCAACGTAATTTCAAACATATAAATAGTATCTTTTATATAATATTAACGACTTCTCTTGTTTATAGATTTTTGAACTAATATTTATATATTTTATAAGCATTTTTATTTTTCGGAGTTGTGATGGCAACATGCTGCATCGCTATTTCTCTCCTTATTTTTCGAAGCACCAATAGTGTCCTTATTGAGAGTAGTTCATCCCTTGAGAGAATGGAAAACTAACAATAAGTAAGAGAAGCCTTGCGGTGAGATAAACAAATATTTGTGTTTCTGAAGATGTGAAAAATGCTTTGCATTCATATTTTAATATTTTAAGTACATGTTTTTAATTACAATATATTTAATGTAATCAAATAAATGTTTGCGTGAAATAAATAAATGTTTATGTGTTTCTAAAAATGTGAAAAATGCTTTGCATGATTTGTATTTCAATATTTGAAGTATAAGCTTTTTATTATGGTATACTGCAAATATATAAATTGCTTTATAACAATTTATAATTGCATTTATATAATTTTGCAAAATTGTAACTATATATGTATCCACAAAAAGGCATATTAAATCATCAATTTTAACCGATTCGAGTCAAAATAAATCTAGTCAACAATAAAATAAGATAAGGATTATAGTAGATGTAATGTATTATATAATTAATTAAAAAATCAAAATTTACTATTCAGTTATTTAATATAAAAATTTCATGATTAATAACAAAAACACTTATCAAAAGTCCGTCTTTTAGTTCACAACAATGACAGTTTTCATTATAACTATTATTTTTATAAAGTGGTTTAATTATAATATATAAGCTTATTTATTTCTTTTACTTGAAGATATCTTAAATATTTTCTTTGCATGTATGGTAAACTGACGAAAGAAAAGATGATAATGTCGTAACAAAAATCAATAATAAATTAACGAGCTCGTAAAATCGCTAAAGCTATCCATATCGAGCATATTTTGTCGACATATCGTTGTATGTGGCAAACAAGAGCAAATTCGACGGGACCCGTAATATCATGGACTTTGGTGGTGGTTATCTGTTCCGCCAATTCCTCAAGGGTAGTCTGGCGCAGATTTAAGACAAAACCATGCGTATGATAGGCTCTGAATAACTGTTTCAGATCCCGCTTGTCTAATTGGTATTTCATGTCGTTCGGAATGTCGGAGATGAAGCCGCGCAAAACGCTCACGGCGTGACGATTAAATATTGTTGTTAAACCGAGAGAGCTACGCAAAGCCGACAATTTGTCTCGCAAATATTGCTCCATTTGCGACTCGCTTTCCTTTTCTTGAGCACCGTCCTCGGCCGTGACAGCCAATTCCAATGTCTGAACGGGTCGATTACTGCTCGATGAGGTAGCGACAGACACAAGCGGTCGCCAATCTTTGCCGAGCGTCACATTGTATTTCAGATTGTGAGGAAGAATAGATCTCTGCGTGTTTTCCCATATCTTAAACGAAAAGAACCAAACGATCAGAAAAGAAAAGCGAGAATAAAAGAATCTAGAATAGGGAGATGAATAAAAGATGCCGAAGGACCAAGAATTTATGTAAGCTTGTGTCGTATTATTTCAAAATTCAACTATATCATTGTTTTATACTAACACCAGAGTGATTAATTAAGCGGGACACCTTCATCAATGAACAACGGCTGTCGCTTAATTTATAATGTTCTCCGATTTCGGGATCCCATAAAATAACATCATCCTCCTTGATAGTTAAAACAAACGCGGTCCATTTACTTATTTGTGAAGAACCTGCAACATTTCAGTATAAAAAAAATATTACATATCTATCCATGGGCGTCCGCAGGATTTTTTTCAAGGAGGGGCACGATTAAAATTTTTTTTGTTTCTTATTCTTTGTTAATTTTTCCCCCTGCGGACGTCCATACATCTATCTATTTTAATACATACCGATATTATAAAAATAATATCTTACATATCTGCAGTTTGACTTATGCATATCATTGATAATTGTATGAAAAAAGGAATAAAATGATTTTACTATAATAAATTTGAAGTCATGGGGTGACATTAAATTTTGATAAAATTAAATAAAACGTAAGATAAAAATGAAATAAAAAAAATATCGTTATTGCTATTAAAATAATGAAACTTCTGCTTCGTGCATTACGTAAATTGTTCCCATACCTAACAGTACGTATGAGTGCAAGTCGAAACCTTGCAGCAAGGTCGCTAACAAAGCCGCTCTGCCATAGTGATCGACCTTATTCACGTTCAAAGCCTGGCGAGGTGTGACCGGGCCGTAATGAATGGATAGCGATGACAGAAGCATGACAAACCGGGCGGCATCGTCGGGAGTTTCTATGCTGAGTATTTTATAAGGATGAGCCAAGCAACGTTGAACGGCCTTGGACAGAGTGTCGATGGTGTTAGCTTCCATGGAGTTTCCGGGCTGCTCGAGTCTCATCAGCACGTAGATTCTGGTGTGCGATTGTCCGGGGCTGGCTTGCGCGTAGCCGAACAGCAACACCGGACTGAAGAGAGGCGAGAGTGCGATCCAACGCTCGAGTTCCTGATAATTTCTGTGCCGTTCGAGAGGAATTCTCGCCTCGCCCAGCCACTGTTGACCCCAGACCGGATGCTGATCGAACAGGCGAAACTTGACGCAGTGCTCCCCGGTGTTCTGTCTGGGTAGCTCGAAGTGCAGGGTTTGCTGCCAGATAGGTGCCGGTCCATCGGCGATCGAGGTCGTGCGCGCAACGTTACCCCATTCGACCTCCAACAACGGAGAGACGAGGGCCGATTCCTCCCTCACTGGCACTTCCACCCCTCGTAGCACGTTAACAGTTAGGATTGCTCTCCCCACGTTGCGATGCCTGCTGCGCTGAGCGCTGGACGACGGTCTGAGCGGTCGATTAGCGCGAAAGAGGTTCTTAAAGGACACGTCCAATAAAGCGAATGCCGGCTGCTCGGTGACGACAATGTCTAGTGACTTGGATTCCGGCGATGTTTTACGAGTCGTCGTGCTAACGTCGGAGGTATCGAAGATCAAAGCCGGACCCTCGAGCAAAAAATACTTGACGTTCCTTCGGTCAGCGGGACGTCTCCTCTGAGGTCTTAATAGAGAGAGGCCGTTTTGAGGATCGTTCGGATCGTTGCTGGGTCTGTAAAGACAACAGCCGACTGTTTCACTCTTTTGCGCTTCGTCACCGCCGTATGTCGACAGGGAAATAGTGCAGGCGACAATTCCAGCGTGTATCCTTTGCGAGCCGTTGCCGATCGCGAAGTCGATGTCCACCACGTGGTCCTTCACGTTGGAACGTTGGGGCAACGGCAATGGAAGAATACTGGATTTCTCGTGTCGCGAGTGCACTTGTATCGAGAGATCGTGGCACTCGGAATCTCGGATCATCAGCTTGTACAGTTTCCTGTTGAACGGGCCGTTCGCCTTGCATATAGGTCTCCCCTTGAACAAAATCGATACCGAGACAATCTCGATTGTTGCCGCGTTACTCGATCGATCTGACTCGCGCGGCGAATCAATCCGAATCTCCCGTATCGCGATTTCCACGAGTTTGCCGCAAAATCGCGGTCGCGACTCGTAATCCAGCTGTTTCACGTCATCGAGCTGATACGGCTTGATTAGCTTGTTGGTAAGAGGATTCTCGGACACGTACAATCCATCCTCCGTTGCCGATGAATTTCTATCGTACGACACTCGTAAAGTACCTTTATTTTTCGCGAGCACCTCGCTTGTTTTACGATCGTCATCGATCACCGGATATGCGTAGCAAAGACTGAAATCCTGCTCGGTTTTATCTCGCTGCGTCGATCCACTTATGAAGTCGACATGAGAGACAGACATGTCGATTACAAAAGAATTTGATTAAAAACTTTTCTTTTTATTTCTTTTTTCAATACATTTTGCATTATTTAAATTATTATTTTAGCGTGTATATAATATGCAAAAATTCAAAATCTCTCTTGTTTCTTTTGCTGCAAGGTATCAAACTATATCATAGACTCCCATTGGTATTTGTTTTGTTCTCTAATTTCCATGGTGACAATTTCCATGGTAACAGTAAGGGAAATATAAAGCCATAAACGAGTAAAAGTAACGACATCTTGTAAAGTGATGTCGAATAGACTCGGTAGAATCGATAGTAGAATATAAAACGCTGATATTATTACAAATTGTTAATTGTATAATTTGTCTGTATAAAATCTGATTATGAATTAAATAAGTAGCTATATATATATCACACTGATTTAAAAATAAATTACTAATAAAAACGATAATAATTTTGATTACAATTAATACATCGTGTCAACAAATTTAAATTTTAATAAATAAAAATTTCATATTTAAATCTCCCATATTATTTATCAGTATCTTATTCATAATTAGAGACAAATAGATAATAATTTTAGCGATATATCGATGAAAGATAATATTCACAATGTATATATCGACCGTATTCGTGCATTTAGTTTGGGTTTTATTCCAAACCGGGACGCCACCAACAGAATTTCAGCTACATACGTACAAAACCATGTTAAATGTAAATATAGTGAAGCTCTGTTTTAATTATAATTTTTTTATAGGTATGTAAACAATAGGTATTAAACAATTTGTACATCTTCTTTTTATTACTCTTATATTTGTGCGTAGCCAAGATGGAACAGGGGGACACTTGCCCTCTCGGCATAAAGAAGTAATTTAAAAATGTGTTCTATATAATGAAAAACCATTTATAAAAGATTTACGACGTTTTATGAAAATGAAACAATCATTAAATATTTATATATAATGAAAATAAAAAAACTAGAAGAAGAGGCACATAAAAGATTTTCAGATCAGCGAAGCCTGGTATTAACATAAATAATATATATATAAATTCTTATATAAAAATTAATAAAAAATTATTTAAAATAATAAACAATTTTATTAGGTTTGATTTGATAAATTTTGGTCCCCTTCTAGATGAAATTCTGATTACGCTTATGCTTATATATCTGTCTGAAAAAATACATGTAGCATTTAAAAAATGTTATATATGCTATTAGTCCAGCACATAAAAATAAAACGAAAAGAAAACAAAAAGCCTATTACAGCTAGATAACATATATAGTGAATGAAAGAGCGAAAAGAAAAAAATGAAAGATGAATAATTCAAAGATAATGCAAAGAGATAAACACAAAGTGAATATTGTCCGGCAAAATATTTTCCGCATTACTATATAGCGTTAAAAATGGCAATTATTTATATTAGATAAAATTTGGTTTGTTAACTACTAAATCTTAATGAGTTCAGATCAATTAAAAATAAAATGTGAATATATTTTGTTTTTTAATTGCTCTCTTTTATAAAAATTTGCTCCAGGTTTTGTAACCAGTAAATTATTAAATTACTTTAATATCTTTATTTGATTTTTTATTATAATAGGTCACTTACTGTTATATGTATTATAAATAAAGTTTATAATTTAAAAAATATATATATAATGTTTAATAAATATATATAAAATAAATCTTCTTTTTATATTTTTTTTTTATAGAAAACAAAAGAAATATCAACTTTTTCAAATGCAATTATTGCAGATAATATCTTTTGTCTTATATTTTTTTTATATAATATGCGTGTTTAAAAAAATACTTTTATACATATTTAATTTTAAAATCTTTGCAATAATGCTATAAAATTATCGCCATAAAAATAATGAACTATCGTGAATAAATAGTTGACGATGACACATTATATATTCTTCTACTGTCTTCAAAATTTAACAAAATTTTTCCTGGGAATTTAACAAGATTTTCAAATATTTAAAGTGTGAGTTAAATATTTACAAATGTATCATATGTGTATATCTCTTTTCGCAAAATATAAAAGGCTCGTCTGTATGAAAAAATGTATGTAAAAAACCCAAATAATTCATGTTTTTCAACAATTTATATTTTTCTTGACATGACAGAAGAAGGGCAGAAACATCTTACATAAAGAGAAAATATCCCGGAAAAATGTCCAAATACGTGTGCCGACTCAGAGCCGACGTTTTATTATAGTTTTCATCAACAGATTAGCCCCTTTGGAACCATCGATACTCGAGCATCGAGATTCACAGACAGTTTATGGCCCTCATAAAAGAATCTATTTGGTGTTTTCCGACTTGGACCGACCTAAGCACAAGTCGAACAAAAAGATGTATCCTCTGCAAGTCAGGAATTCGGTACGTAAAAACTATTACGTCTTTGGGTCCAATTACGTACAGGTTGCCGACTGTGTTTCCCTTTCCGTTCAATCTTTAAAAAGCCTAACGCCAATGTAGCATCTTATCTTTTCTTCCTCGTGTCTCTTTTTCGTTAATTTTCACGTATTTTCTGCCGTATTTCACGTGCGTTTTGTATATCGTATATCGTAGAGATATTTTCCCTGTCATCCCTCTTTTATACTTTCCCTTTCATTTTCAAAAATATAATAAAGATCCATCTTTTTATATCGTTCAAATGCCGCCTGAATGCGATACAATGATGAACAGATGTCTTACAAATGTCTTATGTTTAGCTACTATCTTACTTTTATAAAAAAAAATTAATTTCAAATTTAAAATAAATAACTAAAACGTGTGCTAAGAATATTCTTGATATAAAACAAATGTAAATACTTCAAAGTACATAATAATTAATTTTTTCGTATTTTATTTTTCTTTAAATGCATAATTTCGTTAAATGTCATATTAACACCTTTATCAGTGCGATGAATAAAAAGCGCGAGGCTACATTAGATAGAATTATAATTTATTTTTGTTTATTATGTCGCGGTTTTCGAACGAGTGACCTTTCTTTGTCGGCGCGATGTCGTTGGATAAATTAAATCGAAATACCACTTTTTCGACCACACTCAATATTAACTTGTCGATATTATGCAGCGTGCATAATACATAAAACATTAAAGTGCCGTCAAAATATTTCCCAGAAGACGCCGTGTAAAAAAATCATACTTTCTGCTGATTTATAGATTACCTAGAATATTAATTATCAAATTCTATAATTACAAATTCTAATTACGTAAATAAATGTTAATTAATATAACTTTTTGACGTCTGTTCTTGACAAATATATGTAGGAGAATATAAAAGCCTGACGATGCGATCAAGTTCCGATATTGTCACTTTTACATCATTCGCGATCGCACACTTTTTCGTTGAAACAATGATATATCGCCGATGGCGAATGACTATATTCGAACCCTCATATAATCGGCACCGCGGTAATAATTGGAGCATAGATACGCACAGCAGGTCCATTAATTCTCCGCGGCGTTCAATTCTCACACCGTCGGGCGTCATATTGTCAGACTCATTCGTAATTTTTAGATTTGTTCACGAAATTATTTTGCTAAAAATTCAGCAAAATAAATTTAGCTTTATAAATTAATATAATTATTCGTACAAATATTCTACTATACATATTTTTGTTCTAGAATATATTTTTCTATCCGTGAATTCGAATATTACAATAATAACGTTTGGCATGATTTTGCAGGGATATTAAAATCTTATATCAATTTTATTTTTAAGAGAAATATTATTAAATTATAAAATAAAATACTGATAAAATAATATTTATAAAAACTAGACTTGTGAAAAACTTGAGGACTAATTTGATCTTATATCGCTTCCATTTAAAAATTGGGAACTCGATGTACAATTTCTCATATATATCGTGTATAAATATACATAATGGAAATGACTTGATCCAATTTTCTATTTGAATTATTCAGCTATTTTGATCCTTCTTTAAAGCTTGACTTTTACAACTGTAAATCCAAACTATCACGGTCGCGTCGAATAACCATTAAGCGTTTGCTATAATCGTGTTTACGGAATACTTCGTCGAGCTTTCTTCCCGACGTCTCGCCGTCGGGAAGAAATCATCGACTCGGGTCGCATAACCGCGACAAAGTTGTTCCCGGTTCGCCTCGGCAGACCCAAAGCTCTCGGTCGCGTCAAAGTGTCGAGGGGTTGCGAGGGGGTTGCTTTCACGAGACGGGGGGACGAGGTGGACTGGGGTCGGACATCGATCTAGTAGTTAACTTCAGTGCCCCCGCGGGACTCGTTGCCACCTTCGTCTGCGCTCGCGGTATGCGTGGAGATGGGGCACAGCCACCGTTTTCCTCGGGATCCGGGATTTGAGAGGGTTGCAGGGGGATGATTCGCGCGCGCGCTCGCATCAAGCGTTTTTACGTTTGCATTTGCGCGCGATCTAATTCGATCTAATTCCCGCTTGCGACACCACGCGATGACTGTTATAATATCGAGACTGCGAGTTTTTTCGACGCGAAGGAATCGTTATAAAATTGTTATAAAAAGGGTTGTCACCGATGTGTTATTAATTCATTAATTAAAATAATTGATCTCATGTTGATATCATAGTATCGAGACTATGAGTTTTTTCGACGCGAAAGAAATTGTTATAAAATCGTTATAAAAAGGGTTGTCACCGACGTGTCATTAATTCATTAATTAAAATAATTGATCTCATGTTGATAGCATAGTATCGAGACTGCGAGTTTTTTCGACGCGAAGGAATCGTTATAAAATCGTTATAAAAAGGGTTGTCACCGATGTGTTATTAATTCATTAATTAAAATAATTGATCTCATGTTGATATCATAGTATCGAGACTGCGAGTTTTTTTGACGCGAAGGAATCGTTATAAAATCGTTATAAAAAGGGTTGTCACCGATGTGTCATTAATTCATTAATTAAAATAATTGATCTCATGTTGATAGCATACTATCGAGACTATGAGCTATTCGACGCGAAAGAAATTGTTATAAAATCGTTATAAAAAGGGTTGTGACCGACGTGTCATTAATTAATTAATTAAGATAATTGATCTCATGTTGATAGTATAGTATCGAAACTGCGAGTTTTTTCGACGCGAAGGAATCGTTATAAAAACGCAGGATTTGTACCGACGTGTAATTAATTAATTAATTAATTTAATTGGTCTTATGTTGATCGGAACTCATAATCGTATTCGAACTGAATTAGAATGCTTTAGAATTAGAATTAGTCTGCTTTTGCTTTTTTATTCTGGATAAAGATATACGCATAAATATATAACTAATTAGAAGTATAATCGTGATTGTACGGGATAATTAACGGGATAATTATCGTTAAAATTGTATACCGTCTTAGATTACGAAATTCCAAAGATACTCTTGGTCGTCAATAATTAAATGCACTATAACAATTCTCGTCGTTAATTTATTTGACATATTCTCGACACTCTTTCATTTTTCAAACGTAAAGAGATGCGAAACAAATTTCATTCATTCCCGATAATTGAGCGAAATTAACGTTAACGTGAGAGCAAAATTTGGCGATTTTATATTTGTGCATTTGTGCTTTTTCTTTTGACAGATGCTGGGAGCAATAAATCTCATTATAATTTTGTGGACCAAATCCGTCATCCGACGTACACGAAATCGAGTCAGAGAGTGTCCAGGTTTTGAATAATTCTGAGACTGACTCTGCTTCACCAAATTATTTAAGACATGTTATACATTTAATTTACGAAGCACACACGCGTTATCATGGCCGTGTTAACGCAACATCAAACAATACTACCATCAAACTTTTCTTCGTACACGTTAGTTAATAGTTCTCATTTCTATTCATTCATCATTTTTTTTATTGTTATCTTAGTCCAAGACTTGTAGCTCTTTTAAAAAAATTTCTGCGGATTTTTTGACTATTGTATATGAGTGTTTTAAAAATGCTGTCGAAGAATTATCGGTTTCTTTGATCATTCCTAAGAGTTCACGTGTTCACGTGTTTAGGTCGCAAAATGATATATGGCAAGTTTTATTTTATCAAAAAAATCTTGAAAAGTTACTGGAAAAATCCGGTCAACATAAAAAAAATTGACTCAAGGTTGAGGAACGATCTATTTATTTCATTTCGTCGAATAGGCTTTGAGTCACGTTCTCACTTTTTTTATTTCTAAAATGCATTCTATGTGCAAAAGTTTGTTGAGTATAGTACACAATTGAACATCGAAATCTATGAATTGTTTTGTATGCCTAAACGTATGATTTTTGATCTTCCTAAACAATATTAACTTATGTACATATCAAAGTTTTATTTTTATTCTTATTTTATTTTAATTTGATTTTTTTTATTTTTTTGGAATATTTAAAGGATATTTTAATAGGTCACATTTTTATTTAGAATGTGATTTGACTTATTTAAAATATCAAAATATTGTAGATGTTAAATTGAAAATAGAAAAAAATGATACTCGATGAAGCCGATTCTTCATTAGATATTGAAAAATCGATGTCAATCGTTGCAATTCGATATAATATACATAAAATATCTTTGATACTGTTACTTATATTTATTAAGTTAGCTACAATTAATCGTTTGCTACTCTTTGTTATGTTTATACGGACAGCTTTATACGGATTTAGGAATATATGAACAAATGTAGGGAGAAAATAACGTATATTTAAGATATTTAATTTGATTTTAATTAAACATTTTTATACATATTATGTATATTGTGTGGTTAAAATTAAATAATTAAATTAAATAACTTATTTTGTTGTCGACTTTATATGTTTCTTTTTAAGGCACATATTTACATATTAATTCTATATACTTTCTATTATATGCTTAGATATATAAAATTTAATATTTAGCACCAATTGAATATATAGCAAAACTCAAGGATTTTTCGGCGCATTTAAAAGCAATCTTATATCCATACTGTCGCATATATACATATATCAACACGTGTGCTGAATGTTTAATAGAAAATAATAAATAAAATAAAATATAAAACAGTATATATCATGTTGTGGGTATTTTATTTACCTACATCTTATATATACATGTTTTCTAATGTGTATGTACATCTTGCGTTCTTAAAAGTTACTAATGTCGCAAATTACAGTGACTAGGGGTACGTAAGTATCCAAAATTTTCGAATGCTCCGATGCGTTTGATCTTGTCGACTTTTTAAAATTAATTCAAATGTGACTAATTTTTGTTAATTAACTTGTGCCCAACGATACTTCCAAAACGCTAGGCGACAATTAATATCAGGAGAAAAAATGTCAGAAAAATAACTATATGAAAACCAAACATATAGTATATAGATATTAAAGAATATATCTCTCTGTATAAAGAAAAGCACCCCTTAAATTTATACATTTTATTTGATAAACTTGTTAGAAACATATATCAACAAAATCCACGGTAAGAATAAAGAAAAGCACCCCTTAAATTTATACATTTTATTTGATAAACTTGTTAGAAACATATATCAACAAAATCCACGGTAAGAATAAAGAAAAGCACCCCTTAAATTTATACATTTTATTTGATAAACTTGTTAGAAACATATATCAACAAAATCCACGGTAAGAATAAAGAAAAGCACCCCTTAAATTTATACATTTTATTTGATAAACTTGTTAGAAACATATATCAACAAGATCCACGGTAAGAATAAATGTAATTTAATTATTATTAAATATTATTAAATATTGTTAAATATTATTAGAATTTAATTAAATATTTTAAATATTATTAAAATTTTTAGTATATATAATTGATTATTATGTATTACTTTTACAATAAATATGTATGTTTTTTAATTATAAATTCGTCATATATATACATATAATTCTGGAAAATTATTATATACTTAAAGAATCAGTGGAAAGTTTTGTGCTAAATCAAACATTTTTTTAAACCTGTATAAGGAACTTCTTTCTCAGGCGTTAATTTTTATCTGTAGATTTTAAGCCAACTGAAATTGAAGTGGGAGTTGTATCAAAGGATCATCCCAAATTCCGTGTGACTGACTGAGTAAGAGATTGATAAGCATTTAATTGCAATTGCTGAAAAGGATTAATAATCTTGTATACAATTCATAAGAAATAAAACAGTGTGTCTTGCTTATCACATTTTTTTTTTTTTTAATCTCGTTACGAGTATCGCAATTAATTGACGCCTATATAGCGTTTTGGAAGTATCGTTGGACGTTTTGTTAACTAACAAAAATTGTTTAATTTAACATGATATACCATCCTCTTGTTGCATTTTAGTAAAATTATGATTAATATAGAAATACTAATAATAATAAAAGTTAATTTAGAATTACATTCAGTAATTAAACGTGCTTAAACGTTATGCTATATATTGTATTTTACGATCAGGTACTAGCAGCTTTTTGAATTTATTTGGAAGACTCCTACATCTGTGCGGAATGTGTAAGATGCCAACACATGATTTCCTTAATTCCTCGACATTTTTAGCATGTTTATTATGATTACCACCAGGTCCCCGCAACAGCAGTGTCTTTTGCGAATTTCTTATCTATTTCTTCTTGTAATTTAATAGCTTGTTCATCAGTTAATTCGACTATTCTAGAATTATTATTTAGTTTCTTCTATTTATTTTTCTTTTTTACTTTTTTCCAAGTTTTTTCTTACGTCGTCTTTCTTATTCAACTCTCTGCTTTATTAGAGGCAGTTTTGGCTATGCGTTAGCTTCATGTTTCTTGAATTTGCTCATGATCTTTAGAATCATAATTTTTTTATTAATTAAATCTTTATATATATATATATAATATAATAGTATATATATATATATATATATATATATATATATATATATATATATTACTATTATATTTCGATATTTCTAATTATTATAGTTAGTCTTTTCGATATCAATAATTATTATAATGAGTCATAAAAAATGTAGAAAGGTTAAATAAACATCATCAGTGTAATTATAATAATTATTAATATAGTTATATAATATATAATTATATGTAATTTTATATATAATATATAAATTTATATATAATAAATTATTAATCATAATTACATAATAATAGATGTATATATTACTAATATAGTTATTAATATAATTTATAATTAACTTTTATTATTATTACTATTGAACCAATAAAAATTAAAAATTAATTTAGCTCAATGTAGAAATAAGAAAAATATGTACATATTGTAAAATATAGTGCATTTCCATATCGTCTACGAGGTAAAATACTTTTTCACAATTAAAGAATCAGTTCGTGATAACTTGATTATTTTCGAATACTTACGTCACCCTTATCTTCAAACACAACAAATACGCTATCGTACGAAACGCGAATATTACACAGAAATAACAAGTAATATTCAGGTACGACATTATATTGCAATAGATTATGCAGTAGGCTGCGTAAAGGCGTGCAGACTACATCCACTTTCAAATGTTAAATGCATATCTTATAATTGTGGAAAAGGTTAAGCGTAAAACATAACAAGTTGGATGAACTAAAGCGTACTGGATTTATTCATATTAAATAACAATAACTTTTTTTATAAGATAATAATTATATAAATTATCTTAATAATCTCTAATTAATTTATTTCTAATTATTTACTATTTACAATACCAGTGCGCATTGATGCATCCAATTAAAATAATAAAAAAGTCGAGATGCAAGTGTCACATTAACGAGAATCGTCGTGGATATGTGGACGTGAAGAAATTAATGAGATCAAGTAGTTTATCTAGCTATAATTTCCATCTATGTACTCATTATATATATCTATATTATTTATTACTTGTCTATATTATATATATGTATATATTTTATATATACATATATATAAATATAAAATCCACGAACGATTCGTTTATCTAACAGTCGTTTATCACAGGTCGATGAAAAGTGCACGATAAATAGGACACGAGTCGTTTCATGCGCTTATTCAATCGCGATTCAATTTTATTGAACTTAAATAAAATTCGGAAATTCGGACGAAGTCATGGCCGTCTCTATTTCTCTTATTTATCGTTGTCAGGGGGGGCTACTTCCGGAGAATTAGCGTTTCTCGCGCTGCACTTTCCATAGATTTGACTATAATACGCGAGAATTGCAATTTCAAAGTACCGACGTTTCGGGTAGGGTCGCTCTAAAAGAGCGGTACCTGCGCTATTTTTGACGAATCTCTCGCATTGCACTTTCCTTACATTTGACTATTTTGCGAGGGTATTACGACGCGGAGTGAGGCGTGTGTGGGTGCGAGGTACTATTCAGAACCGTATTCAAAGTAATAATATCCGACGGCTGCAACGGCGTGTGCTGCATGGACTGCGACACAGGTTGTGCAGATGTGGACGCGGGTGACGTCGAGAGCCACGCCGGCAACGACGGCAATAGCGGCGCCGCCTGCGATATAGGCATCGGCATGGCCATGGACGAAGAGGAACCGTTACCGTTTGCCTGCATCAGACCGCCCAACATCCCTCCCATGTCACCTCCGGCGTAACTCGCCATTCCGCCGCTCGCCGCTTCTACAACGTTCGCGGATGCAGCGGCAGCTGCCACTTGCGCCGTCGTTTGCTGCCTCAACTGCTCTCGAGCTCGTTGTTCCTCCTGCTTTTTCATCAGCTTCCGTTGCTTCGCTCGTCGATTTTGGAACCAGATCTTTACCTGTAACATTCAAATCGATCGTTTCGTTTGCATTTCATCGCAATTTGTCCTTGTAATTTTATATATATATGTATATTTGACAAATTCGTCAATCTTCTGTTGCTTTAATTATTAAAATAAAAATGTAAGCCTATATAAATTTTTAAGTATAGGCTCTATCAAATATTCACAAACAAAATACGAGCGAGCTAATTAACGATATGAACGATGTACGATTAGACGGTCCGAAATCAAGATCGTAATATAATAAAAAAATTGTTAACAAGAAATAAGAAAAAAAGAAGAAAGCGCTCGGGTCTTAATTAACCCGATCTTATTTGTTTGTAAATATTTTATAATTATATATTTTTAAAACGTATATATATATTTATATTTTCATAAATATGTATATGTATATTGTTGCGTACTATTTTTGCTTCGTATACAATATATTTGTTGTTAACTTCTTTAGAAATTAAGAGATATCTACTCATATTTACATATATGTATATGTATGCATGCATTAAATGCAATAAAAGACAGGCTAATAGAACTAAACGCAAATAATAAAGTTTGTCTTAAAAATATAAATTAATAATTGTACTTTACTTTTATTAATTTAATTAATATTATTAATTAATGTTATATATGTATATTATAAATTATTTATTTTTAAGATTAAGACAATTTCATATTTATATTTTTGCGTTTCATGTCTCTTATTGACTTGACTTTTATTCATGTATATTAAAAATCAAATGTAAATTAAATATTAATGAAAAAAAATGTACAACTTAAAATTAGTAAAACACATATATATTATTATTAACATATTTTTCATATGTAAACAGATGTATAGCGAATATGTTAAGCATTTGGCTCTTAAATTGCAGTTGTACTTTGTGATGATTTATGTGATTTAGAAGACATAATAAATTATAAAAATAAAGCCTCCAATTTTGTAATAATTGTAATGTACATACATACAATACAAGATCTTCTACACTACATTTATTTATATAAAAAACACAAATAATCAAAAGAAAACCTCATTGTTAGTATCAGCTATATACATATATGTAAATTAGTAAAAAAATTACATTAATTAAGTACTTGATGTTTTTAAATGTTTAGCACGCGCAAAATAAGATATAATTTTGATCCTTTTTATTTGTATTTCTTCTTGCTCATTTATTTCACATTTTTATTGTTTATAATCAATGATGAGCAAGAAATTGATGTACGATTTAGAAAACGATAAGTACGGAATTAGGCAACTCTCTCTTTTAGTTATATATGTATTTTTATACGTTTTATTATATTTTATTTATATTATATTTTATTATATATTGCGCATCTATATTTTGTCTACAGTATTCGTTGTCTTATTATTTCTTCAGAAATTATCTATATTTATACAACTCTGCATTAATGCACCTGCATTAAATGCACTTCTGCATTAAATATACCTAAATATCAAATTTAAAATTATATTCTTTTTGTCTGATAATTTTAATAAAATGAGGCTAAAATGAGGCAAACGAAAAGTTAAGAGAATAGTAATGTATATAAAGAAACGATCAAAATCAATTATTATATATTATATATTTACATATATATATATATATATATATATATATATATATAGTAATTATAATAGATAAAATCAAATAAAGCAATCATATATGTATAATTACCGTTACATTTAATCTGTTTTTAATAAAGTATATATAAAAAAATCGTATAGAATAAAATCTTTAGATAATTTTATGCGGCCAGCTCTCTTCCTTAATCTTTTTTATGTTGTGATATAAAGTTGTTATTTCTGCTAAAATAATTTTAATACGTACATTACAGGAATGGTGCGAAAAGAAGCTATTAGAGAACATACCGCATAGGTTTAATGTTAATTCGAGTGGGATTTATACTTACTTGTCGTTCTGTGAGATTGAGCTGAAGAGCAAGCTCGGCTTTACGTTTGATAGTGATGTAATGGCTCGAATGAAACTCCTTTTCGAGCTCTAGTCTCTGATAGTCTGTATAAACCACACGATACTTGTCTTTTGTACGAGTTTTTCCTGAAAAAAAAGAAGAAGAAGATAACAGTCGGCGTCATTATGCGGTTAATATCTATCTAACTGATTCTCTTGTCAATAGTACGTTAAAAAGATAACGTTTTCAGCGTGTACACCGCGTGGTTAACATTAACCAAGCAAAGAAACGAAGTTTCGTAATTAATTTCACATTGGATTAATTCTTTCGGTATCATCGCTGATTATGATTGACGGTCCCAAATTATTTGACTGTATGTACATGCATATGTCCGAGAATCGATGATGTTGATACAAAAAGAATTGTCCCTCGCTGTGAATTTCATTTTGGATTTAATTACAGAAATTATAAAGAAATTATAAATTTATTATAAATAAATATAAATATAAATGCAAATATAAATGTAAATATAAATATAAATGCAAATATAAATGTAAATATAAATATAAATATATCAGTCACAAAGAGAGTAACGTAAAAGGCAGTTGTAATTTGCGATATAGTCATTCTGCAAGAAAGAGTTTTATATCTGAGGTAAACAATTGCGTGTACATTTTATAATTTTGAATATAACACAAATACGCGCTATACATATTTGTATAATACATAAATCTAAAAAATGATTATTAATAGTTATTTTAAGATTTCACCAAATCAGACATAGGCTGGTAGGAATATTCATTTAAAGTTTTTCCAATCGCGTTATGACGTAGAATATTTCATTTAATTAAAATAATATTATAATTATAAGACGCGTTCTTTATCGTACTCGTTCCATCTTAATTATATTTTTAGCATATGAATTACTTTAGCACTTTAGTGCATTTTATTATAATCATATTTATTATGATTTATTTTAATTGCTTATCTCAGATTTACGGAACGATTATTCCCAAAAAGAAATAATAGTATCCAGATGGCAATTTAAAAAAATGTAATTCACAATATTTCATTACATAACACTTGTCGCATTCCACAAATGAGTTTTAATTTCAAATATTATGAATTTAATTAAATAACTTTTGTATAAAACGATCATGCGGCAGCACATAAAAAATATGCTGAGACGAAATATACATATACATATACAAGAACTATAAATATACTGAAATTATACATAGGCTAAAACTTATAAATATTTTTTCTAATAGTGATTATATAAATGTAAAAAAAAGAGACAATCACATATAAAAAAGCGACAACGTAGCTTGGAAAGCACGCGGTATGCATTTACGATTCGCGCTGAGTAACGCGGAGCGCTTATTTCTTAGGAAAGAGGAAAGAAGTAAAAACGCCAAGCTACGCCAGAAAGCGGTAAAAAAAGTGCGTTGGCAATCGCACGGTGTGAATGCGTTTCTTACGACGTGGCGTGTTCGTGGCGGTAACACGCGCACAAAATACGGAATAGAGAGAAAGAGAGAGAGAGAGAGAGAGAGAGAGAGAAGGCAAGGAATAAGAAACAGGGATGGGAACGGCGCGAGATGACTCGGAAGAGAGGGATATGATTAGATAAGGCCCCGCCGGCGAGATCAAAGGCGTGCACGTTAATCCACCACTCCTCGATAAGGGGACACCGAGGCCTTCGTGGCATCACGAATAAGCGGCGACCTTATAGAGACAGACTTCGAGACGGTACACGTCTCAGGTATGGATCCAGGTGGATTCAACATGGCTGGCGACTCGGCCTGGAAGGATGTCATCCTCGTAACAAAGATGTTGCGAGCAGCAGATACGTAATAGCATCAAAGGAACAATGGATTATTGAGAAAGAAAAATATCTCTTTGTCTATCGTTAACCAAAATAACGGTATTTTCTGACACCTTCATATATATCATATATATTCTTCTTCCGGTTTTCCCTTTTTCGCCTCTACCCTTTTGCCTTTTTGAGAATAGTTTGACGTCATAGTAGACGCAACAGAAGTCCTTGAAACTTGGGACGAAAATATGAAAAACGAAAGATTCGAACAATATGAATATTTCTTTTTACATTTTTTTTTATTTCATAAATTTTCAGTCTATTCAAACTGTTTCGCAATTAAACAAAGCAAGTTATATATTATAGCAATCATTCATACAGAAACTTTCTCTACATTTTTTATTAAAAAAAAACTTTTATTGTATTTATTTAAAAAATAATGAAATGCATAAATGCACATGGAATATCGTGAATTTTAAGATACAAAACTTTTGATGTGGTGCACACATTTATTAAGAAGATACAATTATCTATATTTTTTACGTTCCGTACGAGAGAAGCATTATCTTATTTGTACGATATTGTGCAAAAAAATCGTGCGAGATGTAAGTATGTATCGAGGATTTACAGAATTAGACGATACACATTGACATTTAGGTGTGATACGTCGGCGTGTGCGCGTTTATTGTTAAATCTATGTATAATCTGTTCAAATGTAACACCCAGCAATAAATATTACGGACTGTCGGGTTTCGAGTTTTCATTTACTTAGATTGAGATCGATCGTTATCGCGGGTACTTTCAGCTCTCCATATCTATGATAATGCTTAAATCACTTCTTTGTCGTGCTATACCGCGTGAGAGGAGAGCGCTATACAATAAATTGATTTGCGTTCGCTACCGATTGTTACATCTTATCCATCATCTTATCGCTTCTGGGTTTCGATTCCAAAAATGTAATTCACTATTTCAACTATTATTTATCCGTCACGCTAGATAAAAACTGTAATTAAATTGTGTCGTGTGAAAAGACACGCATATGTATATACAAAGTTGATTATTTTCACTCGAAGAAAAAAGTATTAAATTGCAACAAACTTGCAAATAACATTTTGAAGACACGGAATAATAAACGTGTTGTGTAAACGAGAAAACATCGTGGAAGGAAATCTTTCCCGATTATGACAGATTTTCTTTTTTACAACAATCGATTACTTCATGATTGCGTAATGACCGGTTTAAATCTCTGTTATATAAATAAATGCTATATACTAGTGGTATAGTGATAAACGATAAATAAATATTAGACACTGTGCGCTATAGTTTTGTCAATATCGCGCGATGTAGCTCGAATTTTTCCTTTTCTTTTTTTTATTTTTTTCTGTCATGCACATTGTTAGACATGCAAATATTTGACGCGTTAAGAGCAAATGTCGCGCAACTTGATGCACGTAAACAAATATGAAATATCCTTAAACCTTATCAAAAGGCAGACTCTTTATCTCGTTGAAGATTGTAATCGAATAAAAAAAAATTCAAACTGTATACCGCGGTACTGGCCTTATTTAATTGCGATAGATTCCTCATACGTGAGCGACAGGGAGACTCGTCACGCCACATTCGTAAAGATAATTTCGTAATTTCGAATCAATTTTTATCGCGAGGCGAAACAAGTTACACCATTTCACTAATGCGATAATAATAAGAAATGAATAATCAATAAGCTAGTCACATACCTAATATCTAAAGATACAAAAATGACAAATGCTCGCGCGCGTGTACATGTAATCAATTTATTATGTAAAACTTCTGTAGAGGAGAGAATGATTTAAATACTTATTAATATTATATATTAAAGATCAGAGAAAGTTGCATAAATGTATAATAATAAAAAAAGATGAATAATTAGCAGTAAAATCAATACTAGAGATTGCAATAATAAAAAAAAACAAAATGTAATATTTTCTAATACGTATGAGAGAAGATAATATATTAAATTATTTTAGAAAAAAATATTTATAATATTTGATAAATTTTATATATAAAATATATAGAGAGAATTAAAATTGTCATAATAATAATAATAAGAATAACATTGATGGTTAATGATTCGCTCTTATAATACCATATTTTTTTGGACATGAATTAGAAAAAAAAACGTTTCTAGTTTCTGGAAAACTTTTTCACGATTAACGATATACATATATATCTACACAGAAAACAAAAATTGTGTTGGAAAGAGGAAAGTCTACAGTTTTTAATAGCTGCTATTAAATCTGGCACTGTTGAAAATATTTATCATTAGTTTATGTGATTATTAGCATTTTTTATTTCTTTTTTCCAACAAAATAAATTGGTATACAAACATTTTATTTATATATCTATTAAAAATTGTAGACTTTCCTCTTTTCAATACAATTTTTGTTTTCTCAATAACTGCATGCATTAAAAAATGTCAGCTGATTATATAGTTTCAGCAATTTCCTATGGGACACCTTGTATAACTGCACGACTCAAAGTTATATAAAAGTTAAACTTTTAACATTCCGAAAAGATTAACCCTCGAATAAAGTTTGCGAGTTGTACAGGCTCTTGTTTGAAGGGGAGCCAAGTATTGTGCCGGGATTTTTTGTCACACGCACACACGGACCGCATGTGAGTCAGTCCGGAAGGATTACCGTCGGCATTTTTCATCTCACCGATATCGGGGTTAGCACCTACGATTACCCGAGTTCCGATGACGCGTCAAACGCGACCGCAATGTACCGAATATTGTCAATAACGCGATTATAAGTACCAAAATGTTACGTTACTTGCAAAATTTGCATTTTGTAATTTTTATGAGAAAGATAAGATCGGAATGTTAAATTAATCAAATTAATATTTTAATTAACAATTAACGTGGAAACTGGTTTTATCTTGCCGCAACGATTTAACGTTTCACAAAGGATATATTCACAGGGTGTCCAGCAGACTCAATGAAAAAAATTCCCTGACCTTTTCAGATTTTCCAAGAACAGAAACTAATATTTTCCTTGACTTTCTAATATTATTTTTTCTAAATATATAATTTGCATATATCTATACGATAAATCAATTAAATGTTAAATCATGAAATTCTTGAGATATTTTTGTCAACAATGAAAAGATTCGGAAGTTAAAAAAACAAAAATTTAAATCAATTATATAATCTGTATTATGTACAATAATCGAGAGAGAAACAAACATATGCTACTATATAAACTATTTAAATAATCACCTTTTTATTTATATTATATCAATTTTTGTAGTTTTGTCTCTATTAAACACATTGAAATAAAATAACACGACGATGAAAATATAAATTAACGAACACGCTGTAGATGAATCAATTTTTAACAACACAGAAAATTAGCGTGCTGGGAGTCAAGGAAAGGTTTATATTTATTTAATAAAAAACTTCAAATTATTGAGGCATATGTAGAATAATGTGAAAAAATCCAGATAAATAGTAAAACTTGCTGACTTTTTCCCTGACAATTTCAGATTTCTAAAATTCCCTAACAATACCCGGTTTTCCAGATTTCCCTGACCGCTAGACACCCTGATTCATAATTTTTCAAAAAGTGTCTCGACATTGGCTCGTCATAGTCTGCCTGTCTTTGAACGAAGACCCCGACAATCCAGCCGAGCTATTTCTCCCGAGTATCCGCGCGTAAAATGCGAACGAGTGTGACGGAAGAGAGAAAGAGAGAGACGGAAGACTCGAGCGAGAGGGAACGGAAGGAACGATGCTCCTGGGACTCGTTGCCACCCCATTATAGCGTTTGCTCTTCCATTTCGCGGCGCGAAATGGCAAAAGCGCGTGCCCCGCTTTTCCTGTGGGCGTTTGACAACCCCCGACGATATCTCTCGTGTCGGCGCGGGCCGCCACGACTCATGTGCGCCGACTCGCGCGGGTGCCATTCGTCAGCGCCGTCACAATTACCTCTATTGTGCCATCTCGCATTTGTATATCGCATATCAAATGGTCCGCGTACGCGAGGAGGGATTTTCTACCGCGCGCGACTCCGTCATATATATTCATATATATTTTATTCCTCACCCCTTTTCACCCCTCGCTCGCAACTGGATTCTTTTTCATTTATAATATTTCGTGCAAAATATTGTTAGATTCTGTCGTTATTTTTTACCCTTCGCTCAATATTAGATTCTGTCGTTATTTTTTATCCTTAGCAATATTTGAATGCGCAAATTCTGTTTTTCGAAAGACTGAAGCAAGTCTACTTTGGACATTAATTTGATATGGGTCAAGGATACATGGCGAAATAGAGATATATTAATTAAGAGTTAAAGAGAGAGAAAATATTTAAGAGTATAAAATTCATGATAAATAATATAGCTAAGTAGCGTGCATATTTTATAAAAAAGGTAAAACAATTATATATTATTTGTATATTTATACATACAATAGTTATTAATAAAATATACGCAATAGTTTATATTTTGAAATACATATATTTAAATTAATAATAAAATTATTATTATTTTATATGTGAAGCATCGCGCGCTGTTTAACAGTTTTATTATACATTTTATATATGTGGGAAATTCTGTAACGTATTTAAGACATACAAAAGAGAATTCTGCCCAAGCTAAGCTGGAGTTGAAAGTCGAGAGAGATAATGGTCAGCTGTTTTTATATCGCACAGAAATATATAAAGAGCGAAATTGAATGTAACATTATATTAGAATGACAGAGAATATTTTCTTCTATATATTGAAAAAAATTTGTTAACTTGACTAACCTTTCTACTAAATTACTATTTCGTTAATTGAATATACATATATTAGTATTTAAGTCAAATATACGTTTTGTTAGATTCAATATGTTATATTTAATTTAAATATTTTTATATGTTCAATTAACAAAATAATATCTAGTTCAAAGATTCAGTCAAAGTTAACAAATTTTTTTGAAGTGTATAGAGATGATCCGTATCTAATAGATCGAATCGGCTACGGCAGTTCTCTATTATATTATATTCTTATTTTCCAGTATATTATATAGTTCATTGACGGGAAACCAAAACTTTAACCCGTATATAATGTGTTAGTACAAAATCCATGTACGATATACATGCGATTAGTGTAAATAGTTTGACAGGCAGATAAAAGAGAAAAAGGTAGCAAAAGATTGTGGACGTCGAATTACAGTTGAAAGGGCGTATAACCAAATGGGCTTAACTTCAGTTTCACAAAGATGTTGTGTATTAGTTATGCCCCATAAGTTGTGCTGCAAAATAGATGACCTGTCTCATTGAAGAATAGAAAGGTACAATACGAGAAAACTAAGAAGTTCTGGTCGAAGCATAGATTCTACAAAAGCAACAGCTATACACAATACAAAAAAAAATAAATTTGAAAACACTGACATATGAATAGCGTTCTAGGTGCATGTTGAAATCTACACCTTTTTGTACCATTCTCTCTTTTCCTAATATCTCTATTTTCTCTGAATTGATGCATTTAGGTTTTGGTGTTGTCCAAACATTTAACCATAATTGAAAGTCATAGATATACGATCCGTTTCACGCTTCTGCCTCTATAATAAGACGTGTCGAGTTTTTTCTTCGGAAAAGATATTTATAATAGAGATTATATAAAGTGTCTAATTATATAAAATCACGCGCTAAAGTACGATTAAATTTTCGGAAACTGCGAACCATGATTTTTTTCTATCACTGGTCAGAGTGATAATAATCGGTATATTTCTTTCGATTATACACCAATCTTTTGAAATCTTTCGTCCGCCATTTCGGTGCTGCTTTTCAACCGCAAAGAAAGGATCGCGGCTTGAGACGAGGAGGTCATAAAACCGGTAGAAATCGCGTGTTGTGCCATCGTGTAGGATCGCTCTCACGGAACATCGCGCCGCGCGCGATTCGCGAACAAGAAAGCGCGCTCGAGAAGAAGCGCCTTCCTCGCCTCGCATTTCTGTATATTATGCGAGCAGACCGTTGTCACGAGAAGGGATTTTGCCCGAAAGCGGCGCTTCTACCTGCAATATAACCATAAAATGCAGATAATAGCCGTTGGAAGGTACAGGACGCTCGTTTTAAGGTACTTAAAGCGCGTACTCGCTGCACGCGTGTCAAATAAGATGCAAATAAGAGAGAAGAGAGATGCAACGAAAGAGAAAATTAGAAATAGAACCTGCGAACCTGGGAAGAGAGTCTGGGGTTCGAAGAAGCCAGAAGAACAGCAGTATTCGAGGGAAAGTGATTGAGACATTTTGTTTTTCTAAGGACGATATAGTGATTATTCAGTCGAATGAAAAAATTGCCGAATGATTATTTCAGTTTTTAATATGTGATGAAAAATATTTTTGTGCTAAAGAAGAAAGAGGGTTCTTGAGCCAAAAATAATTGATATTTATTAATATTGTCTGTGTATAATTAATTTTTTCAATGTTATTAGCGCGTTGTTAGCGTACTAGCCCTTATAGAAAAACATCAAAATACATCATATACATATACATGAAAAATAATGAAAAAAGAAAGCTATAGATTTTATATGAAAATCCATTTTTCTATTTTTCATCATTAATGATACATATTTGGTATTTCTTTGAATATCATAGCTTTCGACGTTTAATCACAAAATTGCCACTGAACAACATCTAGTACTTGCATGCACAATACAACACATGCAAAAAACATCAAAGTATATAATATTGTACACAACGATTAATCTCGATTGTAATTCGTACCGAGAGTTTCAAGTCGACAGCAGAGTTCATTAATTGGCGAAGGCGAATCCGCATTGTCAGTAGCGTTGCACGCTGCAAGAATGAAAATGACATTTCTCTCCTGTCATAAGAAAAGTTATTGATATACATACACCGTTAATAAACGGTGTTACGAGACACACGTAAGAGAGTTAACTCTTTCTTGTCGCGTGTGTTGATTCAGGACATTGTATGAACGAATGAGATTTTTGGTTCAAAACTAGAAAAAAATTCAGGTGTATGACAAGAGGACGGATCGAGAAGGAAGAATCGGGGAGGGAAGAGGAGGAGAAGGCAAGAGGGGATTATCTCACAAATATTTGAGAGCAATTAGATGTTTGCTCGTCTGTTACCTTGTTTACCTGGTTTGCCGTATCTAGACCGCTGAGACGTGTTTGTAATCGCGCGCGAACAAGTTCTCGGCGTTCTCGTTAGATGCGCGTCTTAGCACAAGTATGTTAAACTCTGTTAAACAGTTTTAAATCGTCCGACTTTTCAACTGATTTTTTCAAACCGAAAATTAGCTCTTCGGCCAAGTCGTCAAAGATGTTTCTGGCATTTACATCGCCCAAGATTCGCCCAAGATTATTTCATAGCTTAGCTGATTTGTATGAAAATCTTTTTTGCAATATTAAAAAGGTTTGCTGACATTCTAATAAAAAGAAATTTCTTCATACGAATCTCCATTCTTTGAAAAATGTAATAAATATATTCTGAGAGATATTGTAAATAGAAAAAGGAAAAGAATTAATAAAAAATATATTTATTCTACTTTCTCAGATGTTTTTTATGGACGCGTTTCTTGGGCTTCTAAATACTAATTCTACAATATTTAAATATGATCTAATAAATTTGTTAGGTATATACCGTGTTGAAGAGAATGAATTGCATTATTGGCTAAAATTCTTGATAACAACAGAACAACAGAAGATAAATACAGAATAGATCTTTTGCTTTTCGTTTTCTCATCTGACTTAATCAGACTATATTATCACTAGTATATGTAATGTGATTTTAATTCTACATATATGTACAGTGTATTCTACAATAAGCAGATCTTATTGTTAATTATATACTATAAAAGGGTATTTATTAAATTGTAAATAAATGTTGCCGGAAAATGTTTGAAGAAAATGTTTCAAATATATTGTATCATAATTTCGTCAATTAATGGCTATTTTTGAAAATCGGAGATTTGAGATTAACAAAAATAAAATTTGAAAATTTTTAATATCAGCAAATTCTGCAAACTTTTCTAGCTAGATAATGTATATTAATAAATATTTATTATACTAAACATTACAGTAAACTTCACGTTTATAGTAATATTTTATAATGCAATTTTTATATAGTTCGAAGCCGTACTTGAAGCCAAATTTCAAATTAAATAGCAAATAATAATAGGAGAGAATAATTGTTAGGCTCTCAATATTATTCTTATTTAAAACTTATAATTGCAATTTGTTAAGATATCTCTCCCATGCAAGCAAAGAGATCATATTTTCGACAGTTCATTTTGGATACTAACTATATGTATTTTCATTAAAAATTATGTGTATACATATAACAATTACAATTTGAAAAAAAGTCTATGTTGGATCTAATATAAAATTTTTTTATCAATGCGATTCATGGAATACTGTATATTGTAGGCGGTATAACTTTCATCGCGGTAAATTAAGATTTAAAAAATCTGATCTACAATAATTTCCTTGTACAAATTGCGTTGTGCTACATCTAGTCAAATGTGCAAGATAAGATAAAAATTAAGTGGGACTAGGGAGCGACGAATCGAAGCAGAAAATGTTTCCGACGGCGCGGGCAATCTGTTGTTCGCACGCGCTGAATTTAATTTATTTCAATAATCGCGTTAAAATATCGCGTAATTTTAATCTCTATGTATACTCGATTATTATTTATTTTATTAATTTAATTTTGTTATAATAATTCTGCAAATTTTCAAAACAAGTTTTCAAGATGATCTTGCTATTGAATAAATTCATATCATTATTCAAGATCATATCAATTCGATGTGAAAGAAGTAAGCGAAAATGATCTTCGTTAATCGATATATATATATATATATATATATATATATTTAAATGATAATCAGACTAACCTGGCTTTGGCTGGTTCTGGTACGATGGTCTCTTCATCCATTCGTACGGACTTCTTCTTCCATGCGCGACCCTGGTGTACGGTTGACGTCTAGAGGTGGACGGCAGTCCTCTCGATGTAGATGGTATGCCCGACATTTCTCTCGATGTCGACGGTATAGTCGGCATTTCTCTCGGCGTAGATGCTATGACCGGTATCTCCCTCGATGCGGAGGGTATGACCGTGGATGTCGACGGCAGGATGTTTCCGGAGGTGCACGGTAAATCCACATCGTACATCGCATTTGGATTGTTAGGCGAGGACGTGCTATTACTACCGCTTAAACTGTCCCCACTACTGTTCATATTGTCACTTACACTATTTATCCTAATGGCTATCGATGGATGTTGATTTACAATCGGGATCCCGATATTCTCATTTCCGATACTGTTGCAATACTGTTGCAATATCTGTTGTCTGTAAGAGCCCGCAACTGATTGATGCGAATACTGTTGAAGCTGCTGTTTGGTTAACGAACGCTGACCACGGTGAATGTGATGCTGCGGCGACGGGTGTTGCTGGTTCTGTTGCTCCGGTGACGAATTTTGTTGTATGTGTTGTTGCGGCGACGAATGCTGCTGATAATGTTGCAGAGGTGATGAATTTTGCTGCATATTCTGCGGCGATGAATGCTGCGAACAGATTTGTTGAGGAGGCGAATTTTGCTGTATGTGTTGTTGCGGCGACGAATGTTGCTGGCAGAGTTGTTGGGGTGGCGAATGTTGCTGGATGTTTTGCTGCGGCGACGGATGTTGCGGACCAATTTGTTGCGGTGGCGAGTTTTGCTGCATATTCTGCTGCGGCGGCGAATGCTGTGCGTAGAGTTGCTGAGATGGCGAATGTTGCTGCATATTCTGCTCCGGCGAAGAATGTTGTTGCTGGCAAAGCTGTTCTAGGAATGAACGTTGCTGCGCCGTGTGTGACGGAAAGTGCTGTTGCGACTGTGGCTGAAGATGGTGTGGCTGATATTGTATATACTGCGAGTAATGAGTCGAGTAATGCGGCCATCCAGCAGGTAGAATCTCGGCATGATTAAATAATTGCGAAGGAATCGTGTGTGTGTGCGCACTCGGTTGATGCTGAGGATGTAGAGCTGGTGTCGCCGGAATGGCTCTAGGAGCGTATCCATACCAATGACTCCCGTCAATGGCTGCGGCGGCCGCAACTGCGGCCGCGGTGTGCGGTTGGACCTGTTGCATCGACGTTTGTTGTTGTGCTTGTTGCATTATTAATTGTTGTTGTTGTTGTTGATTATTAACGATCTGTTGCTGCTGTTGGCGATACGTAACGCTGAAGTTTGCTTGACTATAATGCGACATCATGTTGGCGATGTTGTTGAGATTCGAAGGTTCTCCCGTGATGAAATCGTCATGAAACGATGGCATGTCTTGTTTTTCTTATATGTTAGAGTATTTACACAATGCAAACGTATATTTTCACCACATGAACAAAATATTGCGATCGAAATGATCAGGAATCGAAGATAAATTTATTATTACACCAATACACAGATCAATTAAAACGTTGTTCCTTGATGCAACTCGTTTTCCCTCGATATCGATATCGATATCGAGGATGCTGCGATGTAACTTTTGCGAGCTTCTGTCGTGTAATGTCTAGTATCACTTTTCTCCTCGTGTGCACTTCGACATTGTTAAGAAGAGACTAGTTTGGTGGGGCGCAGCTAGTCGAACCGGATAAGCTCTGTTCCCACCAGCAGCATCGAGCGACCAATCTACATCCACGACTCACAACGTAATGGTGTCCAACGAGAGCGTCACTAAAACTCAGGAGTATCGCCCATCTGCAGAGAGAGAAAAAGAGAAAGAGAGAGAGGGAGAAAAAGAGAGAGAACGAGAGAAAGAGAGAGAGAAAGAGAAAGGAAGAGAGAGAGAGAGAGACAGAGACAGAGAGAGAAAAGGAAGCTGGTTCTTGTGACTCCACCTCTCTCGATAAGACCTGCTGTTATTTATTTCATTTATACCAGTGCATCGACTTGTATTGTTTTTGCCAATTTTTTGCGATGAAAGAAAATTTTTTTCATCTCTATAATCTTCAATTATTTAATTATAAAATAAAAATTAATATTTATATGTTTACTCGTTTATTGGAGATTTGTTTTTTGAAATTAATCACATTTATTAATGAATAATAGTAATTAAATAGAAATTGTGAAATATGAATTAAGAAGATCTTAACGTTCTATTTTATCGATAAAACGATCATTTTTTCTGCACCCTTTTCTTTTTATTGATTGAATAGAATAATAAATACTTTTCGACGATTCCCATACAGCACAACAAGATTGGAGCAGCATTGTGGCAGCAAGATTGCTGCAACTTTGCAGCAAGATTGCTACAACGTTTTACAATGTTTATGCAATGTTGTAATATTGCAATGAAATGTTGCTACAATGCTACTCCAATCTTGTTGTGCTGTATGGGAATCGTCAAAAAGTATTTATTATTCTATTCAATCAATAAAAAGAAAAGAGTGCAGAAAAAATGATCGTTTTATTGATAAAATAGAACGTTAGAATCTCCTTGTATTGTTTTCGTATTGCAAGGTTGCAGCAATCTTGCTGCAAGGTTGCAGCAACGGTAAAATGTCCGCTTTCAGAAATATTGTTCTATAACATTGCAGCAATAATGCAATAAAATATATATGTAACATTACTATTGAATTATTGGAAATGTGCCAAATACATGATCGGACTGAATGTTCTGTACCTAATATTTTTTTGCGTAAATTTAATTTTTATAATATTTCTGAAATGTTGCTACAACGTTGTTTAAACTATATTGCAAATTCATGTCTATAATAATATTTCTACAATATTGCCTATGTAATGTACAATATTGCAATGACGTTGTAATATTGCTGCAAACTTGTGTGCTGTATGGGTTAAAAAAATATAGAAATAAAGCCGGGACCTATCGATTTTATGTTAAAACAAAAAAAAATTAACATTTTTTTTATTTTTAACATAAAATCAATAAGTTCTCGCTTTGTTTCTATATGTACTTTAATTGTGGAAAAACATTTATTATTTTATTCAATCAATAAAAAAAAGAGTGCAGAAAAATGATCGTTTTGTTGGTAAAACAAGACGACTTTAGGATCCCCTAATCCCCTTAATTATTTTATATAAAATACAATTTGTACAAAGAGATAATTTTTTTTATTTATTTGATATAGTAATAAACTAAGCCATCAAAGTATTTCAGGATTTCCACAATAATTTTTTTAAATAGATATTCAGAAAAATTAATATTTTTTTCTCTTTTCTCTCTTTCCTGTTTCTATTTTTTTTCTCTTTCTTTCTTACGTTAGATAAATGCATCTATTATACATATACTAAAAATATCAAAGAAATATATTACATTATATATGTAATTTATATTATATGTATATTTTATTATTTTGTTTTGTTTTATTGAAAATTATTTTGAAGTAAAGATTGGAATATATTCGTAAATGTTTAGTTGATTTATGCATTAACGAAAAAATTATATTTCTCTATTTTGTGTGTCTGATTCATATTATAGTTTCTATTTTTATGTCGTAGCAAAAGTATAAAAATATTTGTTAGATTGTTAATAATCAAATAGATATATTTTAAGTGACATTCACGTGATATATTATTTTATTGAGCGATTGTAGTAAGATCACACACTCACACACATACACACAACAATCTGGGATGTGTATTTAATAGTTATATACCAGAAGTTCATAAATCATTTCAACACTTAGATAATTTAGAGCCGAAAACTCAAGTTTATCGCAGCTGTGATTACGATCGATAATCATTGTTTATTACGTTTATTTAAGTTGAGAAGTGAGATCTCTCTACGTGTCTAATACTATAAAACAGATATCTTCGTGTAACAAATTATTTCTAAATAAATTAATGACTTTCTTAATTTATTCTTGCATACATATAGTTAGATAATTTCGAGTTTTTTATTTTATAAAAAAAGTATATGTACTCGAGCTTTTTTTTTCTAACATTAAACATTTTTCAAGGCTTTCAATATTAAATATATAAGTATATATATGAAATATATACAAGCTAGAAGAACTGATGTCAGCGTGCGTGGATTCCAATAAAAATTAATATTTTGTTGGAAATAAATGATTGTGCACAGGGCACAAAGTTTGTTTGATACATGACCAAGACTTTTTCGGAATAATCTCAATTTGAGATTTTGATTCCGATGACTCCTATGACTCCTTTAAAGAGATGTAGGCAAAAAAAGACTCGGGTTCGATTCCCGATTCAGCGACTTTGGATCGATATTTAGAGGAATCAGAACGGATTATCGGAATTAAAATCTCGAATTATTCCGAAAAAATCTTGGTCATGTACCAAGCAGAATTCGTGCAAATTTATTTCCAACGAAAAATTAATTTTTGTTGAAATCCACACACTGACATTCGGCTCTTTTAAATCTGTAGGTATATTTCATATACATATATATTTTTTCTGATTTTTTTAAATGGAATTTTAGATGCATTATATAAATGAAGCTTTTTAAAATTCTTCTTCATGTTATGCAAGCATGTTTAAAATAACAGAGATCTATATAGATCACATTGTTTAACAAAAATAATATTTTTTAAAACAAAAAAGTATAAAACCTGTGAAAAAATCACATCTTATATCCATTATGTTTCATATTCATATATTATAATGAATAGAATCCTAAATAAAATTTTCACAGGTTTTATACTTTCTTGTTTTAAAAGATATTATTTTTTGTTAAACAATGTGATCTATAACGAAATATATTCACGATACGATATTTTCATTAATATCATGTTGATATAATAAGTGTGCGTTTCTCATACATAATTAAGTGATCATATATATATTGTCGATTATAAGTTATATTTTTGTGTAGTTACAGAGGATAATAATTTATTGTCTGACGAAGATTAGTACACCTGTTGCTGTTTTATTGCAGCAATTTTGGTGGCTTTCTAGCTTGTATGTTGAGAATAAGCGACGGGAAGGAAGAGCATATCTTTAATGACAGGACAATTTGTTGTCCTATAGCAGGCAATTTGTTACGCGCAGCAGTAGTGATTTGGACATTATTTATTTGAATTTAAGTTTTTCTAAATTGGACATCTATACCTACTAAAGAACAATAAAACAGTGATAATGACACATTATTTCATAATAGTAAAACTTCTAATTTCAAATTGTTAATCGTTTTCGGAATATACTGCATTAGTGCAATAATGTTCTATTGATAAAATTAATACTACAATATATGTACGTTCATATATTCTTAAAACATAAAATGTAAATAAAATTTATTTGTCGAGAAATTATCGCAGAGACATCATCATTTTCGATAAGCGTAACGAATCTAGTTAAAAAATAATAGTTTACTCTTTTATATGTTTAAATATTATGTCAATATTATTTTATAATATATATGTTGTAACCCGAGTTTAAATTAAATTTATTTATTAAAAACTGATGCATAAAGATTTTTATAGAGAAAATATTTTATAAAATTGTATAAAAAAACCTGCAACACATATACAATATATTTACAATTATATGTTATAATATAACTATATATTTTATAAAAATAATTGTAACAATTAATTTTGTAAAAAGTCTGCAATATATGTAACATGTATTTGCAATTATACGCAGAGCGTAAAAATTACTTTTAAATCACGATGCTCAGAAAAAAAAACCATTACAAATTTTAATTCTATGTACATTGGTTAAAATAAGTCCGCAAATTCATGGTTAAAAAAGTTAACTACATTTCCAGCTGAGAAGGAAAATTTGGAATCCATAATAGTAAGACAAGGATATATTTATGTAATTCTTTAGCCTATAGCAGTGACATATTGTTGTTGACCTAACAGTGGCGTAACAAATTGATGTGTATGCTTTAACATGCATAAGCAGTTGGAAAAGTTTTGTCGGTTTTGTCAGAATATGGCAAGACATTCAATACTTGGAGAAATATTTTGAACACCGTGTTAACTTCCAGACTGCTATGTCTTCCGATTGTGGTCTTATTAATGTCTTATTAAACTTACAAGGGTATTCGGTATTTCATTAATAATTTGTCTTGCGATAAAGTCTAATTTATGAAATTTTGAATTCTATCATGATATTAATAGAGAATAAAAGAGATGTATATTATATCTTACATAATGATATAATAAAAGTTTATAATAACAATATATAATAAATAATAGATTTATATATATATATAATGTATCCCATCTATGAAAGATAATTAATTTTTATCTTACATTTGCTTATTAATTCTCGCGCTGTGTGTATACATATTATAGTTGAAATGTTAAGATACGTAGAAAATATTGCGTGTCTTCTCGCATGAATATATTAAAAGGCAGTTATGTTATTTTTTATTTATGTCTGCCATTCTTCCTTTTTTTTGTTTTTTTCTGAATAGCCGAGAGATATCCTATTGACTATAGAAAGGGTTGCACCATGTCAAAATGTTTTTTGGTTCAGTTTTAAAATTTTATTTCTCTATAATCTTTCCTTTCTTTATTTCCTTACCTAACTTTCAGTTGACAATTAGCTCGTTAAAAAAAAAAAAATAAAGTTTCTTTTCTTTTATGTGATGTCGGCATAGTCGCCTTTGTCCTTTTTTTATTCCATATATTTCAATTTTTACCCTATGCAAACCATTTTATTTTTTGGTCCGTAGGAAAATTACTTTATTGTTATTTTTGACGATAACTTTCATGTAGTTTTCTGCTACGTAAAGCGTTTAAATCTGTCTTTAACATTTA